CAATTATTGAAAAAATTATTTTTATTATTAGCGTAATATGAAATTCTAGTTTTTGATCAGTCGCAAATTAAGCATTTAAGTGACACGTTTAAAAATTATATTAACTTGCCAATAAAAATGTATACGAGAAAATAGTGCATATTTTTATTAATAAAATGTTTATTCGAATGAAAAAAAAAATAGTTCTTAATACAGCAGAGAAATTAATGGATTTAAAAATATATTAATTAAATAATTAATAATCAATTTTTATCTTTTTGCGAAATAAATAATAATGTACTATCCAACGATACATGAAAATTATGACAAAGTGTTAAGGTACTACTTATTACTTTTAAACAATGCAGGATACTATAAATGTTGATACAAAATTTCTCTCATAGCTGAGATGATTAAATCACCTCCCAAATTACAGTCAAATTTTTTCATTTTGTACTTTGTAAAAAGACCAACATATTTATTATTATATTCATATTTTCATTGTACATGATGAATTTTGCCATTACATTTACTGTTATTGTTAACGAAAATATATATGTTTCATGTCAAACATACAAATAATTATATATTTGATCGAACACTTTCTGCCAGGAGTGTACTCCGTTTATTCGTCAGTACTATCATTTATTTTTCGAAAGAGGCGGACCAAGATAATCACAATAATTATCCACTTAATTCCAAGCACTTAATGTCATCGCCTTGAGAAATTATGAAAAGGTGAGCATTTATTATAACTGATGGTAAAGACAGAACCCTTCTTCTGTAAAATGAGCTGTAGCACCATCTGTCTTGAATGATTATTAAAAGGTAAATAGTTAATTATGATTGATGTTAACGTCAAGTCTCAATTTTTGAAAAATTAGTTACGGTAAAGGACAGTTGTAATAAAAAAAACAGATGATTCAGATTTTCATCGTCAAGATAGACAAAAATAGATAATACTATATTTAAAAGAATTGCATTCAAAAACGTAGTATCGAAGAGATTTTTATAAAGACGGAACTGGGTTCTTTGTTAAATAAATGTCCAATGCGCATGCGTCTCTATATATCACCATCGTGAACATAGCTGCAAAAGAAATACATTATCGATAATTGCATTATAAACGATACATACTCTTTTTAAGGACAAACCACATACCAACTACATATGTAAATCATTTTTATGTTAAACTCTTCAATTTTCTATTATTGTCAAAGATTTTAAACAAATTAATATATAA